TTAACAACTTGGATTTATTTGGAATATTTACCTGAGTACAGACCAAGGAAGGAATGCAGTTTAACATTTTTCCAGATGATTACCTAGTTCTCACCATACATTTATTGAGGAGTCTACTCATCTTTTTCTTACTGATTTAGTACCTTTATTCTGTGCTGAGTTTCTCCCTCTGATTGCATCTATTTCTGGACTTTCTATTCTGTACCATTTGTGTGTCTCACTCACAGTAGGACACTGTACCACTGAGACTTTATAATCTGTTAAAGATCATTTAGAACAAGTGCTCCTTCATTACCCTCCTTTTTCAGTTTTCCCAGAGTCTTGCTTGTTTACTTATCTGTGTTAAAATCTACTTCTAAAAAATTTTGTATTTTTATTGGAATAGTGTTAAATTTACAAATTAAGTAATTTCTGAGTGCTAAGTGGAAGGATTTGGGAGTGCGATAGATCTAGGTTCAGATTTCCTCTCCGCTGTTTGATTAGTTGTCCAACCTCGAAAAATCTGTCTCCTTTTCAGTTTTCATATATATGAGAGGAGGATTGTAACGTCATCTTTGCGGGAATAAAGGAGATAAGAGGTATAAAATGCCTTCTTTGAAGTCAGCGGAACCGCACCAGGTGACCGGCTCAGGAACCACTGAGAGGGAAACCCCCGGGGCCCTAGAGCGGCCCGTCAGGTGCGCGGCGCGGGCGTCTGCTCCCGCCCCGACGGCCGCGCGCCCAGCCTGGAAGGTCCAGGTGGCGCGTCGTGTCGTCCTTGCTCTGGGGTTTGGGGTGTGCCCCGAGGCAGCCCCGTTAGCTCAGCCGCGCGTCCTCTGCCGCCTGACCCCGCTCCTCCTCGGCTCGGGGAAGAGGTGGGGGGGGGGGCGCGTGTCCCGGCGACGTCCCCACACCCCCGCCGCCGCTCCTCTCAGTGCAGCCGACCTGCTTGCCCTTCTCACGGGGCTGAGTTTAGGGTGCGGGGAGGGAGGGGGTGTCCGCAGGGACCTGTCCAGTGTGTGACAGTCCTCGTAGCCGAGGGACACTTGGCAGTTCTCTTGAGGTGTTCTTGAAAACTCTTTTTGCCTCAAAGAAAAAAGTTAGCTGAAACTCCTTCCTTTCGAATTTTTGGTGCATTTTCCCTCGCCCCTCCCAGCCTCTTTCCTCTGTTGAAAAGATGAGCGCAAATGCCTCTCCTTCTCGATAGCTTTTCTTCGAAGCTAAAAATGTTAACCCAAAGCTATCTAGTAACAGAAGGGTATTTTACACATATCTTTAGCGTTAAGGTCATTTATTCAGAGAAAAAAAATATATATCCTTTGTAGTTGCCTGAAGTGTCAGCAGTTTGGAGCTGTGACGGGAAAAGAAGGCGCATGGCGGCGGGGACGGGAGCCGGTAATTCCAGTGTGAGCAAGCGGCAGGCCCAGAGGGGTGTGGGTGGGACTAGGGATTCTCCCCGTTTTGCTGATAACAGCACCGCAGTTTAGCCACATGCCTCCCCGGTGACCATGTCTTCCGGATTCTGGGCCAGAGTCCGCGTGTGCGTGAGCCGACAGCAGCGAGCCCTTGTCAGGGTCGCCAGGAAGCTGCTGTTCAGAGGAACATGATACGACAGCGTCGCTGAGAAACGGTTCAGCTCCTACGCAGCGGACGGTGGTGTCCGTGGGCCACACGGGTGCGGAAGCCTCCATACCCCGCCCGGCAACAGGAAGGCAGCCAGACGCTTTAAAAAATACTCGTTTGTGTAAAGAAACATTCAGAGACACAACAAACGAATAAAAATGCTTACTTCCAGGGGTGGTAAGCAGAGGAGGATCATGGTGGAAATAAGACTTTCTATTTGTCTTTTTAGAGAATTTTGACTTTTCAATTGTATATTACCTATTCAAAAACAGACTCATTTTTTAATTTTTGTTTTTTTAACTTTTATTTAAATTCCAGCTAATTAACATACAGTGTTTTAATTTGATACTCATCATGACAAATGCACTCTTTAATCCCCATCACCTATTTAACCCATTCCCCACGCCCCTCCTCTCTGGGTTCTTTGTAATTAAGGGTCTGTTTCTCGATTTGTCTCTTTCTCTTTTTTTCCCTTTTATTTCTTAACTTCCACCTATGAGTGAAATCCTATGGTATTTGTCTTTCTGTGACTTACTTCGCTTAGCATAGTACACTCTAGCTCCATCCATGTCTTTGCAAATGGCAAGATTTTGTTCTTTTTCTAGCTGAGTAATATTCCATTGTGTATATATGCACACACCATTTCTTCTTTACCCATTCATCAGTCAATGGATATTTGGGCTCCAGAGTTTGGCTATTGTAGATAATGCTGCCATAAACATCAGGGTGCATGTATCTCTTTGACTCGGTGTTTTTATAGTCTCCAGGTAAATACATAGTGCAATTGCTGGATCATAGGGTAGCTCTGTTTTTAACTTTTTGAGGAACTACCATACTGTTTCCAGAGTGGCTGCACCAGCTTGCATTCACACCAACAGTGTAGGAGGGTTCCCCTTTCTCCATATCCTCATTAACATTTCTTGTTTCCTGACTTGTTAATTTTAGCCATTCTGACTGGTGTGAGGTGGTATCTCACTGTGGTTTTGATTTGAGTTTCCCTGATGATGAGTGATGTTGAGCATCTTTTTTTTTTAAGATTTATTTGTTTATTTTAGAGTGACAGCACAAGCAGGAGGGGCAGAGGGAGATGGAGAGAGAAGCAGACTCCACGTTGAGCGAGGAGCCTGACCAGGAGCTCAGTCTCATGATACTGAGATCAGGACCCGAACCAAAACCAAGAGTCAGACGCTTAACTGACTGCGCCACCCAGGAGCCCCTTGAGCATCTTTTCATGTGTCTGTTGGCCACATGTGTATTTTTCTTTTTAAGTTTTAATTTTTTAAGATTTTATGAAGAGAGCAGGAGCCGGTGGGGAGGCAAAGGGGGTGGGAGAAGCAGACTCCCCACTGAGCAGGGAGCCTGATGTGGGGCTTAATCCCAGGACCCTGGGATCATGACCTGAGCCGAAGGCAGATGCTTAACCGACTGAGCCACCCAGGTGCCCCATAGACAAATGTTTTTAAGTTTTTTTTTATTTTTTTTTTTTTAAGATTTTATTTATTCATCAGAGAGAGTGTATAAGCAGGGGGAGAGGCAGAGGGAGAAGCAGGCTCCCCGCTGAGCAAGGAACCCGATGTGGGGCTCGATCCCAGGATCCTGGGATCATGGCCTGAGCTGAAGGCAGATGCCCAACTGACTGAGCCACCGAGGCGTCCCTGAAGTTTATTTTTATTTTATTTTTTAAAAGACCTTATTTATTTGAGAGAGCACAAGCAGGGGGGAGAGGGAGAAGCAGGCTCCCCCCTCAGCCAGGAGCCCGACATGGGCCCAAGCCGAAGGCAGACACTAACCCACTTAGCCATCCAGGTGCCCCTTAAGTTTATTTATTTTAAGTAATCTCTACACCCAACATGACCCCAAGTCGCATGCTCTTGTGACTGAGCCAGCCAGGCTCCTGGCATAGACAGATTTTTAAATAAAATTTTTAGAATAGTTTCTGGGTACTCTGGACATTTTAGAGTTATAGAAAGATTTTGAAGATAGTACAGAGAGTTCCTATATACCCCACACCCAGTTTCCCGTATTATTAATACCTTACATTAGTTTAATACATTTATAAATATTGAATTACTGTTGATTATTATTAAAATCCATACTTTATTCATATTTTCCTCATTTTTACCTAATGTCCTTTTTCTGTTCCAGGATCCCACGTAGGATACCATATTACTTTTAATTGTCACATCTCCTTAGGCTCCTCTTGGGTGTGATGGTTTCTCAGACTTCACTTGTCTTTGAGGACCTTGACAGTTTTGAGGAGTCCAGTTTTTTTGTAGAATGCCACTCATTTGGGATTTGACCGTTGTTTTTCTCGTTATTATACTGCCGTTAAAGGTTTTGGGGAGGAAGACCTCAAAGATGAAGTGCCATTCTCATCATATCAAGGGTACATACTGTCCACTTGCTACTGCTGAGACATAAAACAATTTGTAAAATGAAAGAGGCAGAGAGGAGCTAATTTATGTAATTTGAGTCTGCGGCAGAAGTTTTATCAAGTTTGGAGACAATTGGGTTTGTTCCCAGGGGTAAGAGAGAGGTGACAATCCACCAAGCTTCTGCACGTTGGTCTGAACTGTAAATATGGAACGGGCCGAAGGAGCCCCGTTCTTTGGAGAGGTGAGGGGTCTGTTGTGTCACACTTCCACAGGAGACAGAGCATCCCTGCTGGCCAGGTGCTGTCCTGCCCCATCAGCTACAGCCGTGGTGTAGCAGGTGGAGCTGCTTTTACCCCCGGTTTCTCTGACAGCCCGCAGAGTTGGACTTCCGTGAGTGGTAAAAACACAGCTGTCAGTGATGTTACAAACTTATTATCTGTTGAATTTCTGCTGCTTTTGCTTTCTCTATCCTTCATCTGCTCTACTGTCTACAGTCTCTTCATTCCTGTCTTGTGTCCCAATTTAGTTAAATATGATAAAAAGTCTAAGTAGGAACTATGTATTATTTTTATATTCACTTATATTCCAGATTCTGTGCTTTAGATACTTTTATGAAGGGTAAATTTTAAATAGTTTGAGTCAGATGTTCATTCTATTAGTTTTGTGATATGTTACGGCATAGAGACTAAATAAAACATTTGATCTGGCTGTCATACAAGTGGTGTGTCCTGGGTTTATCAAACATGTTTGAGAGTTCTAGTTAAGTCTGTATCCTGTCCTATTGCTTTAGCAGCAGGGAATAAATTACAGTTGAAAGTTTGTTTGTTATTATTTCAGGAATCAAGGCCAGAGGTATGAATAAGGTGGCGATTCTGAAGGGAAGATTTTTGTAAGGATGGACCCACACCAGCAGATTGCCAGCATATATAAGAGGAATACATTTCAGATTCCCAAGTATGAAAAAACCTCTCAGTATATGAACCAGGTACAAAGGCATGAGGACAGGCCCACAGACGAAAGACGGTATACATGTAGTGAATGTGGAAAGAAGTTTGCTCAGAGCTCAGGCCTTGTTCGACATCGGAGAATCCACACTGGAGAGAAACCCTATGAGTGTCATCACTGCGGAAAAGCCTTCAGTGTGCGCTCAACCCTCACTGTGCATGAAAGAATCCACACTGGTGAGAAGCCCTATACTTGTAATGAATGTAGGAAAGGCTTCAGTGTGAGGGCACACCTGATCATCCATCAGAGAATCCACAATGGAGAGAAACCCTATGAGTGTAATGAATGTGGCAAAGCCTTTAGTGTGAGCTCAGACCTTATCAAACATCAGAGAATACACTCTGGTGAAAAGCCCTATGAATGTGACAAGTGTGGGAAAGCCTTCAGCGTGAGCTCAGCCCTCATCAAACATCAGAGAATCCACACAGGAGAGAAGCCGTATGAGTGTAAGGAGTGTGGGAAGGCCTTCTACGTGAACTCCGCCCTTATTAATCATCAGAGGATTCACTCTGGAGAAAAGCCCTATGAGTGTGGAGAATGCAGGAAAGCATTCAGCCAAATCTCCACCCTTATCCATCACCAGAGAATCCACACTGGAGAGAAACCGTACGAGTGTGATGAGTGTGGGAAAGCTTTCCGTGGGAGTTCAAATCTTACTAAACACCAAAAAATACATGCCAAAGGAAAGTGTCTTCAGTGATTTATGTGGTGAAGATATTCCAAAGGCCTTTTTTGTATCAGAAGTTAACACCAAAAGAAGGGTATGGTAAAAGTGTTTTAACTGATACTTGGTCCCTTAGAATATTGAAGAAGTGAGAAGTCAGTGAAAATGACTCCAGAATGGTGACTAGTTAAAGTTCTAAAATCACATCTACTGAGAATGCCACTTTACAACTCAGAAGGTAAAGCCATTTAAATATATACTATAATGTAGTTTGTTTTGGTTTAGTAAGAGCAAACGTCAGTAATTCAAACATTGTTTTTATTTTTCTCATGTACAAGCCTTTTGTTTTTGCTGCCAGTATTATGGGTGAAACAATAAGTTTTGAAATCGGAAGTAGTGTTGATTGGTGGGACAGGAACCACATATTCTCATTGTTTCTGGAAATACTAACCAATTGGTTTTCCTTTCTTTGCCTTGGATGTACCTCTGTTCTCTCAGGAGTGATTAGATAGGTGGGTTAGTAACTTCCTTGGCAGAGGGTACACTGCCTCTTTTTAGGTAGGAATCCAGTAGATAATTCTTCAGGGTCATTCTTGCTTTGCCAACAAAGTCCCAGGCGTTTTGACTTACTGATCCAATAAAACCCCTACACTTGACGGAGCTTCCTGAACTAAAAACAAAAACAAAAAGCCTTTCTAAAAGCTTCAGGTGCTCCAAACCCTTGCATTTGGTGTTTCTCCAAGTGCGGTGTGGCATCTGCAGATTCAAGAGGGTATGAGGATGGGACTAACTTGGGAATTGTTGAGTTGGCATTGGTTTTAGGATGACTTTCAAGGATCTATTTGAGTGACTCCTTGAAGCTTGATGCCTCATATCAACCAAGAGTGTGGTAGATTCGAGAAGTGGTGGAAAGTTATTGAGTTTACTTTGGAAAATGTCTTTTTTATGTCTGTGGAAATCCCAGAAGAGCTGTTCATCAGACTGTACCCTAGCTTTCTAACCCCATCCCCAGGCCTAAAACCCAGAAGTTATATTTGCACATATGAAACTTAGGAAAGAGATCTGGACTTTAAAATTACTTTGTTACTATTTTTTTATATTAATAGTGATTTCTAACTCCTGGGTAACAGGCCTGAAATTCTTTTGGTCCCTGAAACTAAATCCCTCGGGGTTGAAGATGAATACCAAATTGATGGAAAATGCAGATTGATTTGGTCCACAGTGTGGATAGGCAGGAGGAAACATTCTCTGGGAAGGTGAAATGGTGTTCACTTCTCAGAGTAGGATGACTCTGTTTGTAAAGGAATGCACAGTTCCCAGGATTTCTCATTTCAGTCCAGTCAGCCCATAGATACACTGGGTTCCATGAAGCTTTGCACCAACTTGTGCCACAATCACTGAGGTCCAAGATGCATGTGGAAAAGCACATCACAAAGTCTCTGGTATTGAGATAGTGCTTACCCCTCTGCCCAGGTAATTGTAGGCATGGACATGGGGGCTGAACACAGAAGGTCATGGTTATGGTGCTCAAATTGAGGAAACAGGACCTCACCTGGGGCATGGGGCATGCTAGAGAGAGTGAGGCACATACTTAAAGGCAGAAATTGAGGGCCTCAGCAAAACACTAGGAAATTGTCTTTGCTATGCTGGATTGAAAGTGTGAATTCCTTTGCCCTGCTTCTTTCTGCCTTTTGACAGTTGAAGGAGACTGGTTGCTCCTTGCTCTGCCCTAGAGAGAGTTCCCTGCCACCCTGTTTCTGTATTGTTATCATTAGTGCTTTTAGTGTTTACCTCTTTGGCCCCAAATGTCTTGGTTTGTCCCTAGGGTGGAGGTTTGCAGACAGACTCTTCGGGGATCAGCACTGAAGAGATGCTATATCCCACCCCAAAACAGCACAGCTGAATCCTAAGCAATAAGTGGTGAGTATTCTGAAGACTTTGCAGGAGCAGATATTCTGGAGAAAAAAAAATTTCTTTTACTGAAGAATATAGTGTTAGGAGATCAGGATGTATGTAACATGGTTATTTCTTGTGAGCTCAATTTAAGGTGTTAATGATCATCTGTTGTGGGTTGGGCCTTGTACCAGTCACTAGGAATACAAAGGTAAATGAAAAAATCACCCTACTGTCCCAGGGCTTACAGTCTGTTTGGGGACAGGGGGAAGGGAGCAGATAGGAAACAGTAATTACAGTGATAAAGCCACTAGGTTTGTACAGAGGGCTTGGCACTGAAGGTGTAACAACCACTCGTGGAAGGGTTGAAAAGTCCTCAGAGAAGGGAAGAAATCTTGAAGGAAGAGTGAGTTCTTCAGCCGCAGGAAAAGGGACAGGAAGATACATTGGGAATCACATGCTAAAAGGTATGTGTGTGCGGGCACCTGCGTGGCTCAGTCGGTTGAGCGTCTGCCTTCAGCTCGGGTCATGATCCTGGGGCCCTGGGATCGAGCCCTGCACAGGGCTCCCTGCTCAGTGGGGAGTCTGCTTCTCCCTCTCCCTCTGCTCCTACCCCCGCTTGTGCGGTCTCTCTCTCAAATAAATAAATAAAATCTTAAAAAAAAAAAAAAGTATGTGGGGGAAATGAGGGAGGTTTTCACTGATTATAGAATACAGTAGGGAAATAGTGATAGATCACACTGAAGACAGCTGGGGGCCAGACCGTGAGATTCCTTGTTATCTATGCTTGAAAGTGTGAAACATCCTCTCTGGGCTAGTGTTAAAATGTAGTGAGAAGTGCATTTTACCTTGTAACTCTATGCCATTGTTGGGAGGAGACAGCCCTTGTTGGGCCTCTTGCACTCCTGCGTGTCCTGCTGGCGAGCACGGCAGGACCTGGCCACACTCTTACCCAGGCCACTTGTTCGATTGTTTATGCCCCTGCTAGCCTTGAGAGATGAGGTCATCTCTCTTGGACAAAGAGTAGATAAGCTCACTGTGTGCTTATTGGTTGGTTGGTGTTCTTTATGGAAAGTTCATGGATAGATGCCTGTACATGTTGTAGGAATTATTTACATATTCTTAATATGAGTCCCTTTCACAGAAAATACAAATACCCTCTCCAACTCTATGGCTTGCCTTTTAATTTTCTTAATAATGATGCCTTTTGATGAGCATTAGTTTTTTAAATTTATTAGTCCAGTTTATCTTTTTCTTTGTATCTTTTTGTTTGGTGTATCTTTTGAAGAATTCTTTCTCTGCTTGAGATCATGAGGCTGATCTATATTTACTCCTTAAAAGTCTTACAGTTTTGGGGCACCTGGGTGGCTCAGCTGATTAAGCGTCTGCCTTCAGCTCAGGTCATGATCTCAGGGTCCTGGGATCAAGCCCCACGTAGGGCTCCCTGCTCAATGGGGAATCTGCTTCTCCCTCTACCTCTGCCTCTCCCCCCACTCATGCTCTCTCTCAATCTCTTGCTCTCAAATAAATAAAATCTTTAAAAAAAAAAAAAAGTGTTAGTTTTGCTTTTCCATTTATATCTATAACCCATTTAAAATTGATTTAAAAAAATTTTTAATTCATTGTAGTTAACATGCAGTGTTCTATTTGTTCCAGGTGTACGATATAGTGATTTGGCTGAAATTGATTTTATGTATGAATGAGGTAGTTAAATTTCATTCTTTTCCCATGTGAATATCCAGTTTATCTTGCATCACTTACAGGAAAGACTCTCTTTCCCCCCCCACTGTTGTACAGTGCTCGTTTGTCATATATCAATAGTCCATATATGCATAGATCTGTTTCTGGTTTCCCTGTTATGTTCCATTGGTTTATTTGCCTTTCCTTGCATGAATACCACTTTTTCCTAATTATTGTACCTTTACATTATGTTTAGGTATTCAGTGGAACAAATCATCTTACCTGAGGAGTCTGGCTCCATTTCTGTGTGTGATTTTTTAGACCTGATTATAGGCAATTACAAATGCTTTACTCCTCGTAGGGGAAAGCTGCCCTCCCACACTAGACTTTGAGGCACAGCTAATGCATGCAGTCTGAGTTGCACTCAAGGATTCAAGACTGCCTGGACAGTGGTGCTCTTAGACATCTCTGTCCTGCTAGCCCAGGCACCTCCCATCTGGAGGCCTATCACTGGGGGCCTTGCCTAAGCACCTCTGCCAAGACTCCCTTATTGGGGTAGAGGGAACTTGAAGATACTTTTCCCCACTCAGACTCAGTAGTCAGTACTTTTCCACTCCCAGCCTTTTCCCTCTTCTTCCTCCTGGCCCCCAGGTCCATAAAATGACTGGACCCTTTTGTTTCGTGCTCTCTTGGCAGTGAGACAGTCCCCACACCTGTGCTGATTCACCTAACCCTCGTCTGGCACTGTTCATGGGTTAAGAAGGGAACACTGCAGCTGCCAGCATTTTGTCTTGTTGAGTGTCTTGCTAACACCAGTGCAGTAAGTCATGAAAGGCTTAGCTGTTACTTTCCTGTTTGCCTGTGTTAACTGACCACTGCAAAACCTGGCGGCTGGTGCACTGAAGTGCTGTGAAATGGTACAAGTTGACTTAGGCTACTTATGACCAACTAGATTTGTATTATGTAACCAAAACTGCCTCCCCACCCTGCCCTGTTACTGCCCCAAATCTCAGTTATTTATGGTACAAAACATGTTCTTGTTTATGTTGTGTGTCAGCTATGGGTCAGTTGCAGCTCTGCAATACATTCTCTCCACTCCAGGATCCAGGCTTAAGGAGGGAAAGAAAAACAATGGTAGGGCCACACAATGGCTTCTACAGCATATACTCAGGAGGAGTGTATGTTGTTTCCGCTTACAGTTCATTAGCCAAAGCAGGTCAAATGTCCAAGCTTCTTAACTATATGGTGGGGAAAAAAATCCTTACAAAGATGGCAGTAAGTAACTAAGAAAATCTTCCGTGGAGATAGTATATCTACCATGATGGCCAATATTTATGGAATACTTTCTATGCCAGGGCTTTTTCTGAGTGCCTTATATGTATTTTTTTCTCAATAAAAAACAATGATATGAGATACATACTACTATACTCCCATTTCACAGCTGAAGAAATGGAGGAACAGTGACATTAAAAAAACTTGGTCATTCAGCTAGGCAATGATCGAACCAGGAATCGAAACTGGAAGTCTAACCTGACAATCTGTTCTCTTAACTTCTAACTGTAAAATGAGAGTTTTAATATGAAGGTTGTTTATGTACCACATTGGGCTCTAAGAGCCAGTGTCTTACACTGGTAAAAACTTTAAAGGTGAGATCCAAGAGCCCCGTGAGATCTAAGAGCCCTTGGTCTCAACCTGTTTTTAACCTCTAAGTAACTGTATTATACT